GAGGGGAGCAGGGAGCTCCAGGCGGTTTTCTCTTTCTCCATTCCTTGTGCTCCAAATGAAGGAGACTGCCGAGACTGGAAGAGGGTTTACTTCAGTTTGTGCAAAGGAGGTGGTGTGATCTCTCTTTTGTGACCAGCATTCAAAGATCACTCAGGCTCGTGTGATCTATAAAATAAATTTTAAAAAAGTTTGTTCCAAGTTAAAGTATGTCTTCTTGCTTTTTGTCCCTCTGGAAAACCAGCGCTTGCTGCTTTAATGCCAGGAGCCAGACCAAACGGGTTTGCCTGGCACTGGCGGCCTTTGCTGGCTACAAGAGGAGGCTGCGTTCATAGTGAGGAGCAGGGGAGGGCACGCCGTGCCACAGGAGAGATGCTGCTGAGCTTCCGCACAGCCCCAACGGCTTTTACTCTGCCCAAGATGTGGTGCTGCACAGCGGTGAAATGAGAACGCTTGCGTGGTGTGAGCTACTCTGCGCGAGATGTGTATGTGTGAAGAGCTGCTTACAGCAAACCATTTGAGGTCAGCTCCATCGGAGACATTTTGCTGGAGGACGCAGTTTTAACCCAGCACTTCCCCTGCCCGCATACATGTGTGAAGAGCTGCTCACAGCAAACCATTTGGGGTCAGCTCCATCGGAGACGTTTTGCTGGAGGACGCAGCTTTAACCCAGCACTTCCCCTGCCCGCATACAGCTTGTGCTCCCTGGGCCCTTGCTATGACTTGCACCTCACCTCTTTCTGTAAATACAGCAGGACTCTCCAAGGGCTTGGAATTGGCCTTTTCCTGCCTCCTCCGTTGATCTCAGGTTCACGAAGGCTGTTCCTGCCCTGCACGGCCCTTTCTCAGGTAAGCGTTGAGCTGGGAGCTGGAGCAAAGACCCATGCAGCCCCTCTCCTCCTTCTCCTGGAGACGACTGGTCCAGGGCCAGCCGAGAACAAGCCTTTCCCTAGGGTGGCCTTCTGCAAGGAGCTACATGGGTGCTCCTCACCACCAGCCTGCCTCCAGCCCATCCTGGTTAAGCAGAGACACCAGTGTGACCCTCCCCAAGCTCAAGCCAGTCCAATTTCCCTTTCTGCAGCCTTTTTTTATGCTCTAAATTAACTTCCTGATGCTGAGGACACTTAAGTATTTCCTTTCTACTTGCTCTTTAGCTGCCTGCTAATAATTTACAGCCCATGTTAAGGAAAAGAGAGCAACCTGCAGCCACCCTTAATTATGGTTTGTGTCAGGCTTTGTCCTTGCCCTCCCTGCTCCCCCAGCCTCATTTGCTGCTCCTCAGGGCCAAGCCAGGCTCTCCTGATGCCCACGATGAGGCAGCAGATGGACTCCTGCCCAGGGATGGCCTGAAGGTCACAGCAGGATGGGCTGAGCACACAGCCATGGCCTGGCACGGACTTAAGACTACTGGAAGTCATTGAGTTTTTAAGAGTAAGTCTTGCTTTCATCATTGCTCCAAGCAGTTTTTGCATCCCGGAGCCTGCTCGATGACAAGGTAAAAACTGCTGATGCCAGAGTTAGTATGTCAGGCTGGAAAAACAAGGATTTGCCATGAGAATATACGTAAGAACTACAAGAATAGCTTTGTCTATCTACTAGCTGTGCATCATTCCTACCTGCAAATTCACCTGCAAAACACCCAAACCATTCCCAGCAGTTTTGATATTTTATTGGTCTTGGTATTTTTTTTTTTTCTTGCATAGGCATAAATTACAATCTGTTGATTAGAAAATAAAATGAACCAAACAGTGCAGCATTTGCAACAGGCTACAGCATCAAATACAAATTTGTCTCCTGCCCGTAACCATCTGTTTCTGCAGGGCTAATTCGTAACATGTGTAGGGCAAACCAAGGAGGGAGAACAGAGGAGTAAATGAGGGAAATCTGCTCTGACAGCTGTTTCGCATTTCTCCTGCCTCACCAGGCTCATCTTCTGCATCAGCACCAGGACCAAATACCCCTGGGCAGGGATGCACCGTGCTGAAGCGGTGGGTTTATGTGCCCTCTTTTCCTTTGCAGCTCAGGAACGCGGTCCAGAAGTGCCGCCAACTGCTGCCGGCGAGAGGCAGCCGGCCGGGTACTCGGTGCTGGGGCTGCAGCCCAGCACCGCTGCAGAATTTGGGGGCTGATAAAAACCCTGCACCTAACCTCAACCTGCTTTCCTGGGGATCTAAACCCAGCACTATCTAGAGAAGAGCATAAACCCCCAAGATGACCTCTCACTCACATCTCCAGAGGGTTTTACCCCAGAACAGCAGAGCCTTTCATCTCTAAAGAACAGGGCAAGCTCACCCCATAAAGCCAAATGCTCCCTGCCCCATAGCCAGTAGTTAACACCCCCACAGAAGGAGCAGAGACCCCACTCCAATTCCTGGTCCCCCCATTCCCACCGCACACCAGCACGCCCCATTTACCGAGAGATCATCCACCCTGACGGCCCAACCTCTATGCCAGGGAGCCAGAAGAGGGGTAAGAAAAGGGGTTTTCCAGCCTCGTGGTTACGGTACTTGCTCCAGCAGCCAGAGAACCCCTGGGGAAGGGGGAGAGCTTCATCTCCGCACTCTCTTTATCATTCAATTAAATACAGGAGCCGCCCTGCCAAGCCTGGGACAGGTCTAGGCATTCCTAAAAGCCCAAGTCCATACGCACAGGGCACTGACGGACATGACTCCGAGGCAAGCGGGCAGCTGTAGACAAGTTTAAAATAACTTTGGCTGTGGATGCCAAGAATTAAGACTACACTCAATATAGGAGAGAATTTATCGTCACTGGATCTGGCTGCAAGCCTGCTTTCTCCCAGCAGCAGGGCCTCCCAGCTCTGCGGAGAGCTCCACGGGGTAATTTTAACTTGTTGGAGATGGGGCTGTGCCCTTTGGGCTCGCTTCCCTTGCTTGGAGCGAGGAGACCCCCTCCAGAATGGATGTGCTGCCATCATCCTCATCCCCTTGGGCTGGTACGGAAGGGGTCAGGGCTCAGCACCTCTACCTGATGCACATCAGGGCTTGCTGAAAGGAGAGACTTCTTCAGCCCCTTCCCCTCCTCCGTGCCCCTCGCCCTACGGTCCTTCAAGCAGGGAAGACCAGAGTGGGAACCAATTCATGGTGCTCCCCTAGTGCTCACGGTGCCAGGGGAAGGACGATGCCAGCATCAGACGGGGCTGAAACACTAAACACAAACCCTTCCGCTTTTCTTTCAACAAAACAAGACGACTGTGGAGGTTGCAAACACCATCCAAGAACGCAAGCCAAACTAAGCGTGATGCAGGCAGCCAGGAGATGGAGTGACCAGATGGCCCTGGTGCTCCTCAGCCCGGGGAAGGTCCCCGTGCATCTTTCCTGGGGAGCTCTCCCCCCGCCCCATCACACCATGGGTACAGGCAGGATTTACGTGCCCGTTGCAGGCACAACTCCCCATCCTGCTCCGGCACGGTCCTCTGCAGCCAGGGCTCGGGGAACCAAGCGATGCCGGTGAGGAGAAGGCAGGAGGGAAAGGGAACCCTTCCAAGAGAAAGGAGGTCAGCCCACACCAACCATCTGCCATCGGGGACCGGGAGGTGACGGAGGCAGCCCCGAGCACCGCAGGTGGGGGGGAAAGGCCCCGTTGCTCCCCAAGGTGCAGAAGCATGCTAGCACCTGCAAGTCCTGGGGATTGCCCCATCTCCCACCCAAAAGACCACCGAGGCACGGAGACAGTCGTGCAGAGCACTGGGACAGCAGCCCCCCGCT